AGAAATGAAGGCATGTATAAAGGTCGGGGTGACCTTGTTTTAACAACAAAACAAGCGTCTGCAGTGTGCCGGGAGCTTTACGGAATCTGTGCACCGGCCTCGTGAGCTGGGCGCTATTCCTGTCCTCCACTCCCAGGTGAGGAAACTGAGGCTCCAGATGTCACCAGGTCAAGTTCACCGAGCTACTTAGTGGTAGGGCCAGAATGCAAGCCCAGGTCACCTAGCTTCTGGGTCCACGTGGGTTGAGGGTCAATGCCCAGTGCCTGCATGAGTGTGACCATCTGCATGTTAATATTAACATATTGACATACATAAATTCATTTCATCATCGCTCAAAGCACAGGCTCTGAAGCCGACGCCCTGCATACTTATTCCGGCTCTGTCACTTACTTGCTGTGTGACTTTGGCCAAGCAATTTCACCTCTCTGGGCCTTTGTTTCCTTGCCTGTAAAATGATAGTTCTTACATCGTGGGAGTGCTGTGAAAATTAAATAAGTTAATATAGGCTCTTGGGAAGAATTAGCTCTTGTTATTGTTGTGTGAAGAGATATACACGTGGGTGCCTCAGCAGGATGTGTGGTTGTTGGCCTGAGGGTGTATGTGTGTGTCTGTTGTCTTGATCTCTGGGTGTTGCGAGTGAACATACGTGCACATCGTGAACATACGTGCCCATCGTGAACATATATTCATCTGCAGTAAAGGTTTAGGGGGTCTCTGTGTGCTTTGGGGTCTGTGCCTGTCTCCATCTGGCTGTACACTTGAACCGTATGTCTCTTTGTGTGTGTGGACGTGTGTCATGTGTGTTGGTAACCATGCGAGAGTGTGTGTTTCTACGTGCAGATGTGTGCCTGTGAAGCTGTTTTTGTGTGGCCACGTGTGTTGCTGCTTGTGGGCGAATGGCTGAGTGCCCAGGCGTGACCCTGTGGGCCTGTGAGTAGATGGCAGCGGCTATGTAGAGGAACATGCCACCCGGGTCGGCTGTGAAAGTCTTTTGGCAGCCAGGGTAGGGGTTTATGTGTCTCCTTTATTCCGTGGAGGAGGAGATGAGGAGCTTGGATGGGATGGAAGAATGAGGGGTCACTCCCTGTCTGATGCTGAGACCGAGTCACTGCCTCGGTGGTGGCTGTGTCATCTCCCAGTCCCTCCTGTCCCTCCTTCCCAACTGGTGCAGACAGAGGGGGCGTAGGGAAACAACGCAGAGGGCAGGCTTGAGGCTGGGTTTTTGTCTGGAAGCCTCAATCTCCTCTTATTGTCCCCATGTCCCTCCAACCTTCACATTGCCCCACTATTGGGACTGGGAATCAAGACCTTCTTGGGAATTGGGAACCACCCCCTCCTCCTGCTCTGCCTCAGACTTGCTGTGTGACCCTGAGCCAGGCCCTCCCCCTCTCTGGGCCTGTGAGATTAAACGATTTTAAAGTGCACCTCCCACTGTGCCCAGGATTGGACCAGGCTGTGCACTGGTAAGGAAGTGCTGGGGTCTCTGAGGTTTGTGAAGCAGCTGTCGGCACCCTTCCCAGTGGGTGTTTAAGAGTTGGGGGCTGTGGCATCAGAAATACCCAAGTGAGACTCTTGAACCTCACTTGCTAACTAGGCTGTCTCAGGTGAGCAGCTTTACCTCTGTGAGACGAGGTTACACCAGCACTCTCTGGGGGCAGCTCGGTGGGATTGTAAAGCTTATAATCCCCCCACAAAGGGCATCTACTATTACCACCATTATCATTTAAGCAATCCCCAGACACAAATTTTTCAGAGTTTCATCCAACCAGGCAGGTCTCAGAAATCAGGAAAGAAATTGAATGAGCAGTTCTAGAGTATGACAATTCTGAGTTTGAATTTCTAGCAATGGGATCTTAGGCAAACCATTTAACTTCTCCAAGTATCATTTTTCTCTTGTATAAAATAAAGATTTTTCTCGCTTAAACTTTCAAAGCTGTTTTACAGATTACAAATCTTGTATTGAAATGCTTAGCACAGGAGCTAGTACTTGGTAAGTGCTAAATACAAAGAATCTATTATTATCATTATTATTATTATTATTATCTCCCCACCCCTGATACACACACTCTTTCTGTCTCCAGATAGGATTATAAAGCGGGAAGGAGAGGCCACCAACGCCATCAGAAGGGAGGCTTTGCTCTTTCATTCTCCATCCTCTCCAAACCCGCATTCCTCCCAAGCGCCCGACCTGGGAAGCCCGCTCGGTCCAAGATACACATCCTGTGCCCTGCTGGGAAAACTGGAGTGAAGCTCAGAGAGGGAAAACGTTTCCCAGACTCGCCCAGCGAGTCAGGGCAGAAGCTAGGATGAGCCTTGAGATTCCACCCTCACCTCCACTATCACCTGGAGCATCACAGTCCCTCCAACCTCACTCGGGACTCAGTTTCCCCGCCTACGTGACTACACCGCACTAATCAGGGTCTCCTTTTGCAGATGTGCTCTTCCTCTCGAGTGGGGCCGCTGCACCTACGAGAGAATGGGGCGGGGCGGCGCTCCAGAGGTAAAGGAGACCCGCAAGTTGGGGTCTCCCCGGCCCGGGTCAGCAGGGGCCTTCCCCGGCTAGCCTAAGTGCCTATTAATACCAGTCCCCGGGGCGGCGTGGCACTGCGCAGGCGCGGGCGGGTTCCGCGGGGTGCGCGCGCGAGCGAGCGAGGGATTCCCTCTGACGTCATTGCTAGGATACCAAACAAACACTCGGCCGCGCCGGCCGAGCTCCTTATATGGCTAATTGCGTCACAGGAACTCCGGGAAGGTGGGGCCGGGATCCCCTCCCGCCGAGAGGCCTGGAATGCAGCTCCCGAGACCCCTGGGGCCGCGAGGGTCACGCAGGTGACCAGATCGAGGTTAGGGAAGACCTCTGGCTGGACGGCGGGCGGCTGGGTTTAGCGGGGCGGGAGATTTTGGGAAGTTTGTGGAGAGCAGGGCCGTGACGTAAGCACGGGGGGCGGTTCCCGGGCGTATAAATACAGGCTGGCGGCTCTGTGCTTCATTCATAAGACTGAGAGCTACGGCCACTGCACGGATACCCGGAGCCGGGACTTGGAAACTTGATTATTGTGATTCTTCTTCTTGAGGGCTGTGAAATTTGGTTTATTCTTTTTTTCCGGAGAGAAAGTTTTTGGAAGGATTCTTCTAGATACTTCTTTATTTTACTTTGGAGGAACCGACTTTTTCGTCCTCTTTATTACTCCCCTCCCCCCGTGGGACCCGCCGGACGCGTGAAGACCGCACCTGAAGCAGATTCTGTACAACGGGACAGTGCTTTCTGTTCCAGGGGGAGCGATCCCCCCTCGCCCCCGAGTCCTACGGAGCCTGGACTTTCAGGAGGCACAGCGGCATCCTGTGGGGGCCTGAGCACCGCAGAAGGACTACAGAGAAACTTTGCCATTGTTGGAGCGGGACGCTGTCCCCTCCCCGAGCTTCCCCGGACAACGTACTTTGAGGACTCACTCGTCTCACTCCGGACTCGCACCTTACTTCCCCCACCCAGCCATAGCCTTGGCTTCCCGGCGACCTCAGCGTGGTCACAGGGCCCCCCCTGTGCCCAGGGAAATGTTTCAGGCTTTCCCCGGAGACTACGACTCCGGCTCCCGGTGCAGCTCCTCACCTTCTGCCGAGTCTCAGTATCTATCTTCGGTGGACTCCTTCGGCAGTCCACCCACCGCCGCCGCCTCCCAGGTAAGTTCTAGATAGTAGGGGTGATGTTTTGTAGGTTTTATTTTCTAAGTCAAGGGTGAAGGGAGCAACCCCAACCCCTCAGATAAAGACACGTCAAAACCCAAGATCCGAGGTGAAACAGGCTCACAGCGCACTTTGCAAACTGCGAAAAGTCGGGAGATGTTTGCAATTGGTTGTGCGTGTGGAGTGCAGGGAGGGAACGCAGCTAAGTAGGCTTTGGGGCAGGATGGGGGTGGGGATGTGCCGCTCAGTGCAACGTGTATGCGGTAACGGGGCTGAGAACTTTTAGCTGGCTCCGGGACTGCCCCCGACTCAGGTCCCCAATCTGAAACTAACGCAGTTAGGCAGTTGGGGCAAATCCGGGGATACCTTCCAGTAGCCTCTTCCCCTCTCCTCCTCTTTCGGGGCGCCGACTCCGGCGCCAGGTAGCCCTCCACCCTTCGGGAAAGCTGGCCTCGAACCCTCGGCCGCGCAGCCTCCGCCTCCAGCGCCGAGACGTAACGGGGGACCCGTGCGTAACGGCTGACGCGCTGGAATCCTCCGTCTGACGCGGGGCACGCACGGCGCGCGACGCCCCCTTCGTCCGCCCCGCCCCTGACGTCCAGGGAGCGTTCTATTTTGGAACGCCGGGGCCACGTTGCTAAGGGAGGGGGCAGCCCGGCGTTCCGATTGGTCGCAGCAGCGCGGGCTTTGGCCAATCAACTTTCCCTTCCTATTTGTAGGGTGCAGTTTCCTTCCCCCTCTCAGTCCCCGCAACCCGTGGTTCCAGGGCGTTTGGGACTCTTTTACCGGCATGCAGAGGCCGAGCGAGGGGATTCCTATCTCGACAAGAGCGATTCTTTGCGACCCAATGGGTTCGCGAAGACTTTGCGGGGATCTGGTCCCTCGGCTCTCAGGGGCAGGGAGTGTCTGTTTGTGTGCCGCCGTTTCTTGGGGAGCCATGGTGGCCGTCACCCTCTTCTCTAGACACACACAGACACATCCCCACTCCCTCTGCTCCGGACTCCAGGTCCCCCCGGTGTATCCGAAGACAGGACTAGAATCGCTAACCGGAGGGGAACAAGCCAGGTGGTCTCCAGGAGCCCCGCCCCCTCTGGGTTCTCAGGGCGCTGATTGGCCGGCGCGCCAGCCCTTCCCTCTCCACGCCCCCCGGGAGAGTAGTTAAGCCTTCAGAGCAGTTCCAGGATTCCATTTGCGGGCGGGGGGAGATGAGTTCTGCTTGGGCTTGGGGGCTCAGGTCCTGCACTATTCCCCCTCTGGGGCAATCTAAGGGAGCCCGGGTGGTGACTTTACCTGTCCGTTCACCCCAACCTGTCACTTGTCAGTCTCACTCTGGGGAGAGACAGTTACTTGAAACGTTGTTCTAAACTCCTAGGCCCGTCCCCCAACGTCCTTTTAATTGGGACCCCCGCCTCTCGCACTGAGGGGTGTGTGTATGTGTGTGAGTGTAGAGGAAGGCTTGGCCTAAGGCCTCTCCTTCTCCCTCCCCTTGCCTCTGGGGTGGGGGTGGGGTGTTGTGGCTGTGTGTGTGGCTGTGGCTCCGTCCCCGGGGTTCTGTCACCCGGCTGTGTCCAGCCTCCTCTCCACCCCCCACACCTAAGAGTCACCAACCCGGGGTGTGATTCACCACCCGCTGGAACCGTGCAACCTTTCCCCGAGGAAGAAGGAGGAGGTAGAAGCCAGTTGAGCAGAAATCCTCTCATTAACCACTGCGTCACGGTGTAGTGGAAGGGTGGGTGTTGTGGTTTTTTCCCTGTGACACACACATCCACACTTGCTCACCCTGTGCTCACTCACGGGGTCGCTGTGTGTTATGTGTGTTGGGTGTGTGTGTGTCGGTGTCTTTGTTTGTGTGTCTACGCCTGTGTGTGTATGTGTCACCCCGTAGGAGTGCGCCGGTCTCGGGGAAATGCCCGGTTCCTTCGTGCCCACGGTCACCGCGATCACAACCAGCCAGGACCTCCAGTGGCTTGTGCAACCCACCCTCATCTCTTCCATGGCCCAGTCCCAGGGGCAGCCACTGGCCTCCCAGCCCCCAGTTGTCGACCCTTACGACATGCCAGGAACCAGCTACTCCACACCAGGCATGAGTGGCTACAGCAGTGGCGGAGCTAGTGGCAGTGGCGGGCCTTCCACCAGTGGAACCACCAGTGGACCTGGGCCTGCCCGCCCGGCCCGAGCCCGGCCTAGAAGACCCCGAGAGGAGACGGTGAGTAAGGGGCACCAGAGCTTGGCCCGAGGGGGTAGAAGCAAGAGAGGCAGGAACTTTCTCATGGGGTGGGGGTTTATTAAGGCCTCAAAGCTGCAGAAACCCCATCAATCCTTGCTACAGTCAGCGAGGACTACAGAGTCCTTTTGTGGCTCCTGGGGGTTCTGGAAGAAGTAGAGGTTCGGGGTGGATGGAGGAAGTGCACTGTATCCCCAAACCTCATGGCCTCTGTCTCCCCTACTCAGCTTACCCCGGAGGAAGAGGAGAAGCGAAGGGTTCGCCGGGAACGGAACAAGCTGGCGGCAGCTAAGTGTAGGAACCGTCGGAGGGAGCTGACCGATCGACTCCAGGCGGTGAGGACAGTCCCTGGGGTGGGGCGAGGGTATGCTGAGGGGGCTCTCTCCCCATTCTCCGTCCCCCCTCCACCTGCGCCATTATTCTGGGATGAGAACCAGAGGTTTCACAAATGGGACTAAGTATAGGTATGGCCAGATGGGGTAGCCCTGTGCGCACACACAGACCCCCACATACTTATGTGGACTCCTGGCTACTCCCTTTCCTGACTTACGCCCCTATGCCCCAGTCTCCTGGCCTTCACTTCATCCTGGGGTGACAAGTGGGGGTCTCTAGGGGAGGGGAGCGCCAGTCCCCTCTCCTGTTGGTCTTGGGCAAGTGATAATCCATTTTTGCCTTGGTTTCTCCATTTCTTCAACCCCTCATCCCATCTCCCAGGACGAGTAGTCTACTTTTAACATTCTGGAGAGTCTTTGAAATGCAATTATTTGATCCTTTGTCAATTCTCCACCTCCTGCCCCAGCCACGCTCATTTCTTCAGAACTTGGGCCGGCGGCATCCACAGAAGCCCACTCCCTTTCTTTTTTTTTTTTTTTTTTTTCGCTACAGGATGACTGGTCATCCCACTCCCTTTCTATGCCCTACCTTGGTCTGAGAGTTCCCTGCTTCATGCCTGCAGGGTGACCTGCTACCCCTCGAGGAAACCAGGGGAATTCTCGACTTTCCTGCTCTACTTTGTCCCTTCCCTGGGAGGCAGAGAGGGAGGAGTAACAGGGGAGCACATTATAAGCACATTAAAAACACATAACAATTTTTCATTCATTCAACAAACCTCTGAGTGCCTCCTGCACATCAGAGACTTCCATGTGCACCCGGCCCCTTCCCAACCATCCCGTGGACAGATGGAGAAACTGAGGCTCCTAGAATGCAAGACCCTTGGGCCAAGTTCCACTGCATACCAGGACTCCAGCTCAGGGGGTCTTTCCTCTCAGTCGGGAGCTGCCTTCCAGTCCCGGGCCTCAGCAGCGGGTGTAGGGGAGCCATGACCGCCTCTTCCAGTGGCTGACGGCCTTTTTCTCCTTCCTCCCTCTCTTCTATGACCCGGCCTACCGGGCCTCAGGAGACAGACCAGCTGGAGGAAGAAAAGGCAGAGCTGGAGTCGGAGATCGCCGAGCTCCAAAAGGAGAAGGAGCGTCTGGAGTTTGTGCTGGTGGCCCACAAACCGGGCTGCAAGATCCCCTACGAAGAGGGGCCCGGGCCCGGCCCGCTGGCGGAGGTGAGAGAATTGCCGGGGCCAGCATCCGCTAAGGAAGACGGTTTCAGCTGGCTGCTGCCGCCCCCGCCACCACCGCCCCTGCCCTTCCAGACCAGCCAAGACGCAGCCCCCAACCTGACAGCTTCTCTCTTTACACACAGTGAAGTTCAAGTCCTCGGCGACCCCTTCCCCGTTGTTAACCCTTCGTACACTTCCTCGTTTGTCCTCACCTGCCCGGAGGTCTCCGCGTTCGCCAGCGCCCAGCGCACCAGCGGCAGTGACCAGCCTTCCGACCCCCTGAACTCGCCCTCCCTTCTTGCTCTGTGAACTCTTTAGAAACACAAAACAAACAAACACACAAGGGAGAGAGATTTGGAAGAGGAGGAGGAGGAGAGAGAGGGGAACAGACAAAGTGGGCGTGTGGCCTCCCTGGCTCTTCTGTGTGACTCTGCCGCCCGCCGCCGCCGCCGCGCCACTGCCATCGGACAGGAGGACTCCTTGCGTTTCGTGCTGCCTCTTGTTTCTGTGCCCCGGCAAGGCCGGAGAGCCGGTGACTTTGGGGACAAAGGGGTGGGAAGGGGATGGGCACGCCCAGTTAGCTGCCTGTTGACCCTCCCACCTCAACCCAGCCTCTGGGGAAGGGGGGGTGGGGGGTGACGCCCCCTTTGGGGCCGTCCCGGGTGAGGCCGGAGGGCAAGGGTGCGGGGTGGGCAGCGGGGTGGGCTGGAGTCCTCTCCAGAGAGGTCCAACAAGGAAATGCCACCTCCCCAGTGTCTCCCACGCCAGCCCCGACCCCTCGGCGGGTGACTAGGCTGGCTCGCCCTGCCCTCCCGACCTCAGCGTCTTTATCCCGCACTTCCATGGGGTCAGATCGTCCTCTGCACAGAGTTGAGCCCCACCCCTTAGAGGGAAGTCGACGCCCCCCATGATCATCCCCTCCCCCCAACCCAGACTTACTCTGAAATGTGAACTTCCTTCCCTGACCGTCCAGCCACTCCCTCCCGGAGAACCGGCTCTGATTTGAATTTCGCCTCCTAAGGATCCCCAAGCCAGCCGCCCCTGCTCTCTGGTCGCGGTGTTATCCTCCCCCCGCCGCCGTCCCCTCCGCCCCTCCTGGCCTTCCTTGTTGGGCCTTTCTGACTTCAGGCGGCAGGGGGCGCCGCGGTGCCCGTCCTGCTGGGGTGTTTATACTGTGAAACGAGTTGGCCGGATTGTGGGGGTGCCGGGTGGGACAGCGCCCTTCCGGGGGGATTGTGACCCCAACTCCCAAAGCCTTTCCTTCGTCGCCAGTCCCTGCCCATCTGCCTCCTCCCTGCCCTCAATGGTGAGTTAGACTCAAGGGGGTGACAGAATCGAGAGGAGGGTGACAGTTCTCCATCCCCGTGGCCTCTCTCTCTCTCCTCAGGACCCTCAGCCCCAAGCCCTGGCCTTTTCCTTTAAGGCCTGTCACTTGTCCCCAGCCTAGGACGCCAGCTTCTCCCTCCCCTCGGCCACCTGCAGCCTCTTTAGAAAGGGAACGAGGGGGGCGCGACATTTTTCCGGAGAAGATTTCAGGGCTGAGGCTTTGCCCCCCAACCCCGAATATTTTTGGACTGGCAAACTCGACGGGGCTGGGCTCCCGACCCCAGCCTCCCACCCCGACTCCCCCGGCCCGAGTCCTGGTCTCGGCTGTCCCTCCCTGCCTTCCCTGTGCTTCACCTCGTGACAATTTTATCACGAGGCAAATTTATATTTTTTAATATAGAGGGTGGGCAATGCCCCCTCCGTGCTGCATGGAAAACAGTCCGCGTGCCCAGGCCCAGACCCCTCCCCTAGCTATTTATCCCTTTCCTGGTTTCCGAAAGGCACTTATATCTATTATGTATAAATAAATATATTATATATGGGGGTGTGTGCGCGCGTGAGTGTGTGAGCGCTTCTGCAACCTCGGCCTAGGCCTAGGTCACGTTGGCCCTCAAAGCGAGCCGTTGAATTGGAAACACTGCTTCTGGAAACTTCGAACCAGCCTGTCTCTGGCTGTCTGTCTCCAGCTGTCCCTTTTCTGATTGTCTTGGGCATCTCCTGAGCCTGTCTCTCTTCTGTCTTCTCTCTGCCTGTTTTCATCTGGGACCATTTCTACCTGTCTCCTATCTGACTGTCCCTGAGCCCCTAGCTGTCTTCTGACACCGGGTTCGTTGGGGACATGAGATTTTATTTTTGTGAGTAAGCCTGAGGGATCATAGATTTTTACAATCTGTATCTTTGAGAATTCTGGGTGCCAGTGTGAGACTACGAGCAGGGCCTGTCCCTGCCGACCACAGCGATTGAATCCCCAACCCCCTCCCCTGCTGTATTTGTGGTTCTCTTTTTGTATTTTGCACCTGACCCCGGGGGGGCTGGAGCAGACTGGCGCTGGGCCTCTCTCCTCCCCTCTTGGTTCTGCACTGTCGCCAATAAAAAAGCTTTTAAAAACGCATGCACCAGGCCAAAATGTCTATTTTCTCCTGACACACATTACCCGGCCTCCCTCTAGCAAGAGGGAGTGAGGTTAGATTGCCGGGGGACGGTACACACGGGCACGCATGTACGCAGGAACTCCTACTAGGGCATCAGCCTACAGCAGGATAAAAGGAAGCTAGACAGTTGGGGGGACTTCCTGTACACACAGGCAGTGTCTCCTAATAGAAAAAGGCGGGGAGGGATAGAATATTAGCTTCTAGGGGGCCGGGCGTGGTGGCTCACGCCTGTAATCCTAGCTCTCTGGGAGGCCGAGGCGGGCGGATTGTTTGAGCTCAGGAGTTCGAGACCAGCCTGGGCAAGAGCGAGACCCCGTCTCTATTAAAAATAGAAAGAAATTAATTGGACAGCTAAAAAATATATAGAAAAAATTAGCTGGGCATGGTGGCGCATCCCTGTAGTCCCAGCTACTCGGGAGGCTGAGGCAGGAGGATCGCTTGAGCCCAGGAGTTTGAGGTTGCTGTGAGCTAGGCTGATGCCACTGCACTCACTCTAGCCAGGGCAACAGAGTGAGACTCTGTCTCAAAAAAAAAAAAAAAAAAAGAATATTAGCTTCTAGGTGTGGGGTCTTAGAGGTTTCCTGGCCATGTAGCTTTTATACTCAATGGCTTAGAACAGAAACTAAGGAGGTAAGCATCGCACAGTAGGAGTTGAAGAATCCTGCCAGCAAACTACTGAAGACCACTTAGGCTAATAAGAAAAGAAAAGGAGAGAGAGAGAGAAAGACAGAAGAAAGAAAGAAGAAAGAAAGAAAGGAAGGAAGGAAGGAAGGAAGGAAAGAAAAGAAAGAAAGAAAGAGAGAAAGAAAGAAAGAAAGAAAGAAAGAAAGAAAGAAAGAAAGAAAGAAAGAAAGAAAGAAAGAAAGAAAAAGAAAAGAAAGAGAAAGAGAAAGAAAAAGTTCTCAGGGTTACGTGAACTACAAAAACTGAGGTCCCTTTTGCAGTGAAATGTGTTTCCTTTTATTTTTGTTATGTGACCATTTCTTTGAGACCATGAACATACTGGGGCCAAGACTGGGGCCCAAGATTGACCAAAATAAAAATAGTGCTATTTTTTTCTGTTCAAAGATACAACGGGCCCCACGCGGAGTACTGGCCGCCCGGCTGCCGCTCGCCGCCCTTCATCCCCTCCCTTCATCCCCTCCTCGTCGCCTGCCAGGCCCTACCCGCTGGGGCCGCGAACCCCCCGCTGCCCCGACCCCCCCCCAAAAAAACAACAACGACAAAAAAACACAAAGATATAACGGAGCCAAGCCCATCGCAAAATCTAAGCTCTCTCTCATTTGCATAACAGCAAGCACTCTGGGAATTGAGGTGATGTCCAGAGGTCACTTAGATGCCTTGGTAAATGAATAAGCAAGGGGGGTTATCACGGCAGAATGAATTAACTTATTAAATGATAATGTGATGAGCACCTGCTGTGTGCCCACCCACGTGCTGGGCAGTGTTGGGGACACTGCGGGGACTGAGCCTCAGGCCCTGCCTTCCTGGAGCTCACAGTCCAGTGGGGGACACAGACCTGTTCTCGGCCGGGGACAACCAAAAGGGGACAGCATTAGGGGAGCCCAATGGGACTGGGGAAGCCCAGCAGGGGCACTCAGCTTGGACTGGGAGTTAGGAAAGATCTCTGGGGGAGGGGACAGCTGAGCTGGTCCTAGAGCAGCAGTCCCCAACCTTTTTGGTCCCAGGGACTGGTTTCATGGAAGACAATTTTTCCACGGATGGGGAGCAGGGGCGGGGGAATGGTTTCAGGATGATTCAAGCACATTACGTTTATTGTGCAGTCAAACCTCTCTGCTAATGATCATCTGTATTTGCAGCCTCTGCCCAGCGCTAGCATCACCGCCTCAGCTCCACCTCGGATCATCAGGCACTAGATTCTCACAAGGAACTAGCAACCTAGGTCCCTCGCATGCGCAGTTTACAGTAGTGCTCGCCGCTCCTATGTGAATCTAACGCCACCGCTGATGTGACGGGAGGCGGGGCTCAGGCGGTGATGCGATCGGTGGGGAGCAGCTATAAATACAGATGAAGCTTCCCCTGCTCACCCGCAGGTCACCCCCTGCTGTGCAGCCTGGTTCCTAACAGGCCACTGACCAGTACAGCTCCACTGCCCCGGGGTTGAGGACCGCAGTCCTAGAGGATGAACAGAGAGTACAGAAGGGAATAGAAGAAGGCTGAGGCTAAGAAAATAGGAAGTGCAAAGGGGGAGCTCCACGTTCATGGTGACTCAAGCAATAGGTGTGGAAGGAGAGGTTAGCAGGGACCAGGTTCTGTGGGCGATTAAATTCCCAGGCTAAGCAGTTTAGATCTCCTCTTGAGGGCACTGGGGAGCCATGGCAGGTTTGAGCATGAGAGGGCAGAGGCAAGTTAGCTTTAGGAACACCCTTTTAGCCACCAGACTGAGGGTGGCTGGAAGGTAAAGGAGCACGAATGGGGCAGGAGAGCAGGGAGGAGGCTGGGCTGGGGACCCTGGGGTTTGAGGAGGGGCCTGGAACAGGGCCAGGGCCTTGGGACAGAGGGGAGGGAGAGGATGCAAGAGACATTTAGTAGGCAGGACAGCGGGACGTGGTGAGACGCTGACTCGGGAAGGACAATAGAGGCAGCACTAAATAGCATGTGCTGGGTGGTCTGAGAGCCTACCAAAGCTGGGTGACCTTGGACAAGAGGCATCTCCTTGAGCCTCAGTTTCCTTATCTGCAGAATGGGGCTGTTGGGAGGAGTGTGAGCTTGTGCATGCCAGTGTTAGGCTCTGAGTGAGGTTGCAGTTATACCATCCCCACTGCCATTATTGGGCCAACCTGATTTCCAAATATCCCAGAATATTCTCCCCTTCTGCTGGCTAAT